AAAATAATTCGAAATGTAGGTAACCTAACAGAAAACAAAATTATTTCAAACAAATCAGAGTTTCAGCTTCTGTATGTTATAAAAGGAAAAGGGAATATATAAGCAAAAAGTTACGTGTGCCTCCAAAAAATGCAAAATATTGCAACGAAATAAAATACGCGAAATAATACAATACCTCCCAAGTAAATTTATAACGTGGTCTGGAGTTATAGGGGAGCACTTTTTCTTTCTGCCAAAGTGATGTATAAGATTCTGATTTTCGTCTTCTCATGCATTTCTGTGTTTATTTTCATCGCAATGCATCCTACAGAAGGGCGCAATGAAATGAAAAAAAAAAAAAAAAGTAGAATTATTTGAATATTTCGTACAAGAAACTGATACGCCTTCAGCAAAAAAGTACAAAAACTGCGATTTCTTTTCTTTAGAATATATGAAAATTATGTTTCCTTAGATGCATTATTATTTTATTTATTTATTTATTGCATTTTTTAATTTTTGTTTATTTTTTTGTTTTTGTTTATTTTGAAAAGCATAATTTTGGTAGACATTTTTAATTTGACCGAAATGTGACAGTGAAAATACATAATGTGGCATCTTATGTTAATTAAATTTTAATAGATCCATGGGGCTTATTTACTAAACTTGACAAACGATGTGTGGTTCTTTGTCTGTTAATAAACTGCATATTGTATTGACTATTAACATTTTATGGTGCATACAATTAAAAAATATTTGACAAAAATATAAAGGCAGATAGAGTGGACCAAAATATATATGTTTTGTAATTTCATATGTGCGCGGAAAGGTGAAATTCGGTGGTACAAGGCGCTGTTGGGCAGTAAATAAAAGCATTCTAATAGCGTAAACCACCATTTCCCGACCAAATTTCGAGGTGTATCCATTGTTGCCCGAAGGCAGAGCTCACAGAAATTAAATTTATATGCAGAGCTACGGACGGCTGTAAAATAACGGCTTAAAAGTTATACTTGGGAACCTTTATATGTACTTTTTTGAAAAGCTGCTTCATTTTAGCCGTAGAACATAGATAAAATGTATATGGATGAGTTCCGCCTTTATTTAATGATGTATACTACTTAAAATGTAAAAGTATATTTACGGGTACCCCTTGGCGAAAATTGGCGATTTTTGACTGTACATGGATACCAAGTTTGCGCAGTTCTTTGACTTGTTATTTTAGCTTTGTGTAGCGGCGATTTTAGCGCCAAAAATCGTCGCTACACAAAGATAAAATAACAAGCCGAAGAATTGCACAAACACGGTATCCATGTACACGCTGACCTATTTTCACTTAAAAAAAAATCACAGAATTGTACAAACTAGGCATTGCGCACTCCCTTGACTTTATCTATGGACATGTAGACCTATTTTCACTTACAAAAATATCAGAAAATTGCACAAACTTGGCATTTCGCACTTCCTTGACTTTGTCCATGTACACATCGATATATGTTCACTTAAAATGTCAAAGTTGCACCCATTGGCAATAAACGAAAAAACAACTTGACGACAAATGAAACAACAACTTCGCGATAATACAAAGGGTACCCTTCAGTCTACTCTAACCCTTAAAATTCATACAAAGAACAACAAATTACGGCAGACTAACTCTTTTACCTGCTGCTCAGCAGCGCCCTATACCACCTCAAAGCACCAATTACGCATATACATTCCGTTATAAAATCTGCTTATTTCCCCAGTTCTCTTATACAGTTTAAGATACGTTAGTAGTATATCGTATGTTCAAAATTGGATTTATTTCTTTTTTAATGAAACTTCTAACTATTTGTTTATTGCAATGGAAATTCCGGCGTGGACGTTTTCCATCACAGATTGATATATAGCAGCTCTGTAGTAATATAAAGCAGGACATTTTAGGCCATGTGATTTCTCAGGGAAGAACCGTGTAACCTTAGACTGCTAGATAAACTATGCAAAGACTTTATGGTAAGAAATAGTTAGGATCTTCACTAAAATCACATAAGCAAAAGCGTAAAATAATTAAATTTACGCATCATACAAATGTAGCAATGTTAATAGAAATCATTTCTGATTTAAAATTTTCTGATCTCTTTTTCATAAATACAATTTTATTTATATATTACTGAATACATAAATATAAATTCTATTAATATAATACTATATATTCATAAATATAGTTGTAACATGCGTTTTTGTAGCCACCAAATATTATCACCCTGTATTATTTTAAACGAAATTAAATAAAGGAGAATGTGCAAGAAAGTACGTATGTTTCTCGCATTCTGCAAAAATGACGGTAACTATGTTTTGGTTTTGTTTTTATGTGATTATGGCAAAGCCTTGAAAGTTATCGGCGTAACGGGAGGAATGCCTTCTTGGAGGTTATCTAAGGGAAACTGGCTCGTATACACGTTACACATGGGGAAAAAACACGAAAACGCCGATGCATTCAACCCGTTCGCGGGATTCGAACCTCGGACCGAACTAGCAGTGTTCAGCTATTTTACCGCTGGTGGGCCCGAAGGTACCTAGAGCCTTCAAATTTTGAATAACATAGCTCTCCATCCGAATATGGGCACATGGAAGCCCGAAGTTGGAATTTAGAATTTGTTTTATTGCCTATTGCATATTTTCTAAATTTGTAACGAATTTTTGAGTAACAAACTCTACGACGTCACAGCGAGCAATGGCAACATGGCGGAAAAAAACATTTATGTCCAGCACGCGATACTGTTTGTCATAAATGCTAAGGATGGGCTATTTTATAAATTTTTTAAACCAAGCGCTCTCGAAATGTGTGTGTTCGTAAATGGAAAAAAAAAAAAAAAAAAAAAAAAAAAAAAAAAAAAAAAAAAAAAACGGCTCTTTTGGGTGTAATATAAAAACTGAAAGGTTTCAGATTTTATTTTTCGTTTACATAAAAATAGTTTCTCTTTTCTTATAATAATCTACGGGATGCGTTCGATATTCAGGCATAAAAAAGAATTGCTACTGGTAAAATTAAGGATTTCTATTACGGTCGCTATAAATGGAACATTTCGAGAAAATGAAAAGATTATTTGTTGTACTTTTAAGTTTCCAAAAATACGAGAATGATATGTGATTGTGGTTACGATCAAATTTTTACTGGACAAGGGCGCTTCCTGCGTACTTAAAAAGATTTAATTTGCATAATAGGCTATGCAATTTTTATAGTGTTCAAGTCAATGAACGACATTTTATTTCAGGCTGCGTATTATTGTGACATATTAGGGAAAAGCGTGGTGACGCAAATGAATTCTATTGCCGCAGGGAGAGTTTACATTTGCAAATAATTTGATGAACTTTATAAAATGGTAGTATAACAATACTAGGAATTTTTATTTGATGTTTTTAACTCTATTTTTGTTTTAATCCTTATTGAGTGTGTTGCGTTAACCATAAAACCAAATATTATCGGCCAGGAGGGCTGCAGCACACTCGTGTATTACACTACATTACCCGAGAGAATATTATAATACGTGAATGAACTAAATCAGCAATCTTTGGTAAATACTGAAATCTGGAAATTGAAAATTTTAAAATTTCAGCTGTTGCGAACAAAAATGTAAAAGGACTTCCAACAGCTTTATTTTCCATTGTACTTATTCTAACCAAAGTAGGAAGCATTTTACCGATTCTGACAACCAAAGCTTCACACTGCTTTAGTCTATGCATGAAATGCCATGTTTCTTTGAAGATAAATAAATATCAAGCATAAAAGCTATGAATATTACATCATATTTTTGATTCATACGAACATTTCATAGTATCTAATTTATTATTTACCGGGAAGAAAGTAACTCTTGCCTTGACTTCTTTACCTGTAAAGACTCATTCCTTCATGTCTGGAAACCATGACTTTAATATTTATATTCTGCGCTAAATGGTCTGTATTTCTGAAAGGCTAGAAAATGTATGTCTAGCCTTCAGATATTGGAATGTTTGTCTAGTCTTCTGTCATGCTGAGGGCGAATACATAATATTTGAATCCACAGATTTTGCTTAAGGAAATATTTGTATCGTTGTATTTATTTTTGTCATAATTTTACTAGATTTTCTTTTCAAGAATTTAGTGAAGTGATGAAGAAATTTCTTCTGTATGTTTTGAAATATTTATATTGAACTAAAGTTTATTTTATCAAGTATTTAATGCAGTTTAATTCGCGGACCCCTTTTGGCATCTAAAAGTTAACATTACTTTGGCTTAGTGTTTAATTTAGAAACTTTATTACTGACCTACTTTCTTCACTTTTTGATTTTTAAAATTCAAATGATGGCTAAATGATTTGTATTTAATTTAAATGAGAATATTATCTCTCTTTATGTTCCAACTGAATTCATCGCAAAAAGAAAAAGCAGGCTGAATGCCTTCCTGGGGACAAAAATGTCGTTGCATTTATAATTTTATGTTCTAGTTCATGTAATGCTCACGAACCCCGGGGCCCACGATCAAGAAAGCAGAGTTTCGGGCGCTGCAGGCCTTGGGCCATTAGGGTTGCTGCGCCACTGAGTTTAGTTTAGTTAGTTCATGTAACAATGACCTCCAGGCTAAAGTCGGAATGTGCAAATATATTAAATGAAAAAGAGAAAAGAAAATACTTTGTGAAAGTAGTTGTTTGTACCGGAGAAAGAGAAGACTACAATTAAATATTACATGCGAAATAAGTTGTACAATTACTTCCGCCCATTACTGCCTAAAATTGACATTTAAAGTTTAAATCCAATTCCTGTCAATTGCGTAAATCCGGAATTACCATTTCTATAATTTCTATTGTTTATGAACTAATTGTTGAAATTTTCTTTAGGTTAATTTTACAAATAGTACTGCATCAGTGCTCATTTTAATACTTCTGAACGTTGATCATAAGCAAATGACAAAAAGCATTTTGAGTGTCGAAAGGATTTTTCTAAACAATTATTTTCTGTTAAGCTATGCTAACAAATTGAAACAATAGGCTAAAGATAATTTTCTTTTTCAGATCCACCAGGCCCTCCCCGCATAGAAGGATACGAGGAGGGAACCATCGTAAAAGCAGGAGAGGCCTTAACTTTGATGTGCATTTCTGAAGGTGGAAACCCACCACCACAACTCATATGGTACAGGGGCAATGCTCAAATTGATGCTACATATTATCTGACCATGGATGACACTGTCACTGCTAACAATCTTACGTTTATCGTTAGCGCCGCGGATAACACTGGATCCTACTATTGTCGAGCCTCTAATTCGGCAACAAAAGAACCTCTGACAACATCAATCAAGCTCAGTGTTTATTGTAAGTAATGTGAATGAATGGTCTTATTTTTATATATTAAGACAATGTACAAGAAGTATTCAATTCTCTTTTCTGTAAAAAGTAAGGGTTTTGATTAAGAAAAACCAACGATGCATGGCGCAGATTTTATTTCAGTAAAAGGGGGGGGGACTAAACAGTGGAAAGATACAAAGCAAAAGAAAACGGAAGGAAATAAAATGTGAATTATCTAGAGAATGAAAATAAATCAGGAATAAACTATATGTAAATGGGTGCGAAAAGCCGGTAAGAATTTATATCCTTGAATAAAGTAAAGATATTTTTTTCTGATATAAAAAGACTAAAAGAAATCCTTTTTACCGGCTGATGAAATTTTTGGTCGATTTTTGCTAGGAAAAAAGTACGTTTGTAGTTTGCAGCCCAGCAATGCTGGATAGCAGTTGATTTATTTGTTTCCTTTTTTCTTCTATTGTGCTTGTTCTATATTACATTACAGCTACAGAATCGCCCAAAATACTTCTGCTAAACAATTTTTAATCTTTCTTGAATGGTCAGGCTTTTACTGTTGTTTGAAGACAAAATGATGTTAAAATTTACTTAACATGAAAAATGTATCTCAGGTTAATTGTTTCAACAAAAAAAAAAAAATAACACTTTCCAAAAAAAAACAGTGTAATAAGTAATAAAACCAAAATTAAATAGCTCATTTAAAACATTTTTTGACCATTTTCTTTTTGAAAACAAATAAAAGACCATAAGATAAGAGCAACACATTTAATTTAAATGGTAGACCAACAGATCATTTTACAGGCTATTGTAAGATATGATCAAATGAGATTCCTTTTTGCGCTGTTACCACATAAATTCACATTAATGAGAGCAAACAAAGGAATAGTGTCTGCTGTGATCCACAGCATATATTGTTGCTTTCTAAATTAAATGCCGTTTACTATCTTCCTGCAGAAAACTGTTTGACCTGTTTATTCTATAATTCTTTATTGAAAAAACGAATCTAATGATAACTCTCTATTTTTCTTTTTCAGAATCCTTTTTAAGGATCTAAATGCTTCCATAATTATTTGACCCTAGTATTTTGCTGAATTCATGAGAATTAATTTTTTATGATTTAAATTAATTAACTGACTTAATTTTCTTACAACTTCTTTCTTTAATTTTTGTTAACATTACTGGAAATACAGAAATTTGAAAGAAACGTTCATCTATTAACCCACAGTAGTAAGTCGATCAAGTCGAATGTATGAGCAGTTTTAGAAAAGTAACATTAACAAGTGAAATGCTTAATATTTCAAACATCAATACAAAACTTACCTCATAACCAAATGCAAAAATTCCCATGACTGCTGCATGTTGAAGGCCAAAAGATGAACAAAAAAGTAAGAAAGCATATTATATGTTTCACATTTAATAATGTTAATTCTAGAATTTTGGATTTAAAAATAATACTTTAGAAGATTATCTCCCTTTGGAGAGAATAAATATGTCTGCAAAACCTGAAAGAATGGCACGACCTAAGAAATGGGCAGTATGAATATGACTCATTGTAGAAATAATAAAAATGACTTCCCCGTTTCTATGGAAGATACTTCTTTGATAGAAAGTTTCACCATTAAGTAGTCTTTGTTTGCTAAATCAGACCGACTAAATCTGTATTATATTTAACTCACAATGAGAATTTAAAAGTGCACTGAATTTGTAATCTAGTATATCCAAATTATAATTAATGGTAATTTTTATATGCAGCTTTAATGTATTTAACAAATGATGATACTGATGCCGCCTAATCCGAGTAGAGAATAACTTTTAATCCGCTTTAATCAGTTAAATTGAAATAAATACGTTCAAGTAACTTTAAGATTAAAATTTGAAACATGGTGTATTTTAGTCCAAATATATTCTAAAGGAAGAATATGGGGAAAAGCAAAGTATCTCTAGCTAGCTGACTTGAAATTCAGTGCATAAAAAGATCATGTAGAAGAACTGAAGGGAAAAACATGAGATCTAAAGTCAACAAAACTTGAGATATTCTAACAAAAACCTAAAAAACGACGGAAAACGGAAATTTGCGTAGTCAGCAAAACTATAGAACATGAAAAGCAAAAATAATAGTAGCAAAAAAAAAAAAAAAAAAAAAAAAACTGCAGTTTCTTCTTAGACGATAAGAAAGATTCCAAGAGCTTTATTCAATACGATTCTCGAAAAGTTACAAAAATGAAATCAACAAGAGACATATCACAGGCTCTAGAAAATCTGAAGGATTGTTGCATATTCCAACTTGTTTTATTTTGTAGAGGATAAGACGTGTAGGATGATATCTTATAATTGAACTTTTTATGATTATTAATTTTTTTAATAATTTAATTTTGAGTAATATAATGCAAATGAATTGAAGACACAAACGCAAAAAGGATTTTAAAATTGCATATCTTTTATTCGAAATAAATTAATTGTTAAAAATTTGATTCCATACTTGAAGTTTCAAACTAATATGAAAATATTATTTTAATTATGTTGTTTATAAGCATGTTTAATTTTAGTGCTGAAATATTTCCATAATTCTTTATAAAAGAAAAATTCGCAAAAGGAAATTTATTTTATACGCTTTACAAACAAATTCTGTTTTATATGGGTCTGAATTTTATATTTTCAGATATTACTGAGCAAAGATATTTTCTAATGGATTTATTATTTTACTACAACAGACACGATCATGAGGTTAAACATGCATGAACATCTCTAACCTAAGTTGTAAAAAACAGAATAAATTGATGTTTTTGCCATGAGACAAAACGTTTTTATTATTTAATTTATCCCTTCAATAAATTATTAACAGAAATCAATAGCATTTACATGCATAGCTGAGATAGTAATAATATCAATGCACATACCAACGAATTAACCGTCAAATTTCACTCACCATTCTTTACCTTACACTCCTGCGAACGCATATAAGAATTTCAGCACAGAGCCACTTAAGACCCCGCTATCCGAAGTCAGAGAGTATATCGAATGAAATAGATTTGAAAGCTATAGATTAAAGAGATATATTAAAAATAACTGATAAAATCCGACTGATTACAATTTTTATGCAACATTTGTGTTTTAAACTTTTAATTAAGAGATTTTCTCAATTTGTCCAACATATTCTATCAGAAGCAATTATCTTAGGTGCAGCATCAAAATGTAATTTAAAATGTTGGTAAAAAGACAATGTAGTACATTTTCGAAAAAAAGTAAATATTTTTATTTCATTGTTAATACACACACTGGTCAATGAATTAGAAACCTTTGATATTTTCATTTGAATGCGTGCCAGGGATGAAGTATGCAATTTTTTATGACGTGGGTTACACGCGGTTAGAATGCTAATATAAGTAACGTGTTATAATATTTTTCACGATAAGTGAAGTAAAATGGAAACAACGACAGATCTTTCCCCATTAGAAAAATGGCTTATTGTTGGTGCCCGTTTAACAGGGATCTTGATTTCGAAGACGGCAAATCTCACTGGGTTCTCAAAATCAGCCATATCAAAGGTTTTCAAAAGTTGGGATCAGAACCCACAGAGCTTCTCTAGAAGACAAACTGCGGTGCGAGAGTGATTAACGTCGTCTCCGACGCATTGTTAGGCAGAACAGAGACTCCACTGTGCTTCAATTGACACATATCGTCAACCAAGGCTCTACCCAACACATTTCAGCTCAAACCATGAGCAGAGGATAGGAATGCATAGTCGAGTGCCTGAGAGAAAACCACTCATTTCTACTCGACATGCAAGAATTCGTTTTCACTGGTGTCGGGAAAGAAGGCACTGAACATTTGAGGACTGGAAACGGGTAATGTAGTCAAATGAATCACGCTACACCTTATTTTGCACTGACGCGAAGACGTCGAATTTGGTGAGAACCCCATAAAGCCGTGAATCGATATTGCTTTGCTCTTAATGTGCAAGGGTCTGATGGGAGTATCATGATACGGCATGGAAGTGGTGCCCTGGTATTCCTCGAGTGTAAACAAACATAAATGAGATACCTAGATATACTGGCAGATCCAGTGCACCTTGCAATGTTGCATTTTTACTCTGATGGCGACGGATTCTTCATGGACGATAAGGCACAATGCTATATACATCGATGGACGATGGCGATACTTCATGAACGATAATGCACGATGCTTCTGGCACGATGTGGCACGATGTATAGCATCGTGCCAGAAGTGTTCACAATTGGTTCACTGAACATCATTCTGACTTCCAACACTCTCCCTGGCCACTGCATAGCCGGGATCGTAACCCCATAGAAAATGAGTGGAATATAGTGGAAAGACGTATCCGACAGCATTTTCCTCTTCAATCTAATTTGCAAGATCTAAAAAGCTGCATAGCCAATGCATTGTATTCTCTGGACATAAATGAACTCCAGAAGCAAGTAGATGCGGTGCCCAAAAGAATAAAAGCAGCTATCCGTGCAAAAGGTTATTTAATAAAATATTGATCTGGGGTATTTTTATTTGGTAAACTATAAGAATGATTTTAGCTCTAAACTGAAAAGTGAATTTATGAAAGAAATCTTATTTTTGTTGTGCCTAGAAATTTTAGGCATCAGGTGTTCCTCATATCTTTCCATGTTCTGTGTCCAGTACTTTGAAACAGAATATTTGGAATTTTATTGAAATACTTATATTATTACAGCACCGAAGAAAAGTAAAATAGAAATGAATTATTTATGAAATGAATAAATGACTTATTGTTAGAGTAATAAATGCAGTTTTTTGAAAGAATTTAGTTATCATAATTCAGATACTATAACTAACATAGAAAGCGCAGAATGAATATTGTTACGAATTTGGTATTTAAAAAGCTAATATTAGTTCAATTATAAATTAATTGGTTTTATTTCTCGCGCAGTGCAGCGCGTGACGAATATTAAAAGAAAGCTAAGCCGGAAAATTGAAAATACAAGAGCGCGTGCATTAAATAAATAAATATCTCTTTTTGATTTCGA